ACAGCTACTTTCACTTAATTCAATGAGAAGAAAGAGGTGTACTAATAGTGTTTGGACAGAATATCCTGTCTGCTTCTTGTACTATGGATAACCACTAAGAAGATGACAATGTATAGTGTATTGATTATCAAAACTGTCCTATTAATCAGCTATGAAACTGTCTCATTTATTTCTCAAGAAAAAAATAAATAAATAGATAGATATGGAACACATTCATGCAATTTTCCTCTGTCCCTCCCCAACACTCTCAAATTCTGCCCCTCCCTAACGTGAGACTCCTGCCTACAGCTCAAACTGTGTCTCACCATAGCTGCTGCAGACTGAGGTAGATTAGCTTAGAGCTCACTAGTTTGTTCTTGGGAGGACTATCCTCCACACTTGATGCTTGCCTGCTTTGGTTTCTCTCCTGACAGTCATTTGCATTGCCTATCTTTAGAGTTTGTCCTGTTTACTAGAATGATTGGTCCTAGGAAGCTTTTCCCATTCCTGAGACTAATTAGCAATGAAATTTGAGGTGTAAAAGAATTAATCCCCAACTATCAAATGGTGAAAATCTTGACTATACAGGAAGTTCATTACTCAGTGCTTTCAAATTGCTGATATTTAATTGTGCCTAAAATAAATCAACTAAAAACTTTATTACCATGTGTTCTTTTGCACAGTTTTAGAAGTATTGTCTTTGGGTCATACTCTTAGGCCCTTCTGTTTGTAATGAGGGCACAAGCTTTTGATTAGAGCATTGACTATCACCTTTAGCAAAGCATGAGTCCCCTTCATAGGTTGGTTGATGAGGCAAGCAAATGTTACGGTTAGCCCCTCGTGCTTGTGCTTAGAACGTCTTCCTGTCAGGGAAAAGGAGGGGCTACAAGCCCACATCAGGGTTAAGGAGCAAAAGAGAAGGGGCAAGAGGGAGAGATAGGAGGAGGAGAGACGTTGCTGGTGTTGTGATGGTCAGCTGGTCCTTAGCGAACCTCATTGTCCCAAAGGATTGGACAGAACTGATGAAAGTGAAAGGAAAATGTTAATAAAATTAACATTTATTTTAGGAAAATAAAGTGCAAAGGAGAGCTGAAGAAGAAAAGGTGTTTGCAAAGAAGCACTCTGAAGAGTGAGTAGAGGCCAGGACAGTAGAAAAGGATGTACACCCTGCAGAGTGAGGCACGTACCTGAGGAGGCTCCCAGCAGTCCGGAGCTTGGTGGTCACTATCTTTTGTGTCCTCTCTCTGATGTCAGGCCTTCTCATCAAAAACTCGCTTGTAAGGGGTCAGGAAAATAGCTCAGTGGAATAAGTGCTTACCTGACAAACACAAGGTCCTGAGTTCAATCCCTGGTACCACCAAAAAAAAAAAAAATCACTTATTCTCATGCTGCAAAATTGTCATCAGGTGCAGGGCTTTGTGCCAGGAGCATTGGAATAGCAGTCCCTGGTGGGCCTCAGGTGCAGGGCAGGCCTTGTTCTTGTGAATAGCCTATGGCCTGTGCCAGAATTAAAGACAGTGTTCTGCATGATTAGCAAGCTTCCCAGGTGCCCCAGCCACCTTGCCGTGCACTAGGCCCTCCCTCATTTCCTCAACATTTCTTATGACTTGCTGAGGGAGTGGACATCTCTGGCTTAGCTGCTTCCTGCTGAAGTGGACTGTAGGCCCTACCTACTGGGGACTATATACAGTACTCTGCCTTGGGATGGTGTGGCTTACTAACTGGACTGCAGAAAAGGGGTTCCTCTAGTGTCTGTACACAGGAAACTGTTGAGCTGCCTGTTTAATAGAAGAGAGCTCAGTGTGCCTGTCAGGAGCCTGTGGAGGCAGAAAGGGACATTAGACAGGCGACCAGTGTCTCTATAGTGATGGTACTTATCTGTCCTCAAAGCAGAACTGGAGTCTTACTTTTTGAAGAGGAGCTTCAGATCTTGCGGAGGTTCACATGAGTAGTCTTAGTTCTGTGAAAATTTGAGTGATCATTTCCATTAGGGTTTTTATACCTTGTCACTGTGTCCCTTGAGGAAGGACCAGAGTGCTTTCTAGGAACTGGGAATAAGGCTAGGATACTGAAGGGCTGCAAAGCTGCACCTCTTGCCTCCCTTGTCAGGCTTTTGATTTCCTGAAGAGACTTTAGACATGTTCCTTTGTTGTCCCATGCCATAATGGACAGTGACCCACCTGGGAAGATAGATTCTCTCTAAGATTTGTAATTAGTCCCTTTTCTTTTTTCTCAGATTGTTGTGTGGGCATACAGTACAACAGGCGTATAACACTTGGCCCCTCTCTGGGAGTGGTGACAGTCTGCTAGTGCTGTGAGGCAGGCATACCAACAGCCTCACATCTGGAGTGGGCCCAGGTGGTGGCTTGGTATAGTCCTGTGCCCAGTGGCCAGTCTTCTTGAGAATAAAGTGGGAACTTCCTTCTCAGAATAGCCCCTGATATTAAAAATAACCAAAGCTGGTAGTTACTACTTTATTCCAGCAGAGTGTAGATTGTTAGCTTTAAACTTGATGGTGGTACACTGTGATTGCCATATTTCTGTGCTTTCTTCACATTAGTTTTAAACCTTTCAGAAGAGTATGTTCTACCTGATGACTTTCATTTAAGTACTTTTTAAACAAAAACAGGGTTAGTGAGGTATAGAAATGAGTTTCAGATTGTGGCTTGGCAGCTCTCTTCCTTGATGTGACAATTGACCAGAGCATTCTGATTTTCATTAAAAGTCATACTGGAACAAATCACCCCAGTCACCTTCATCAGCCAGAAATAAAGATGAACTTTAAAAATTTAATCCCAAAGAGCTAGCCAGATAGCTTAGTGGATTAAAGCGCCTACGTAGGCAGACACAGGGACCCAGGGCATACTGAGACTGGGCATGGTGGCACACGCCTGTAATCCCAGCACTTGGGAGGCTAAAAACAGGAGGATCACTATGAGTCTGATCTGTGTAATGAGACCCTATAGATCCTGTACTAAATACATTTTTTAAAAATCCCAAAAGGGAAGAAAAAGTAATTCTTTTTTTTTTTTTTTATTGCCATGATAGTTTATTGATTAAGGTTTTTTAGACACATCTTTCTTTTTTTTTTTTCAAAGTTTTATTGACAAACAGCAATGAGACAGTTTCAAATCAAATCGGAAGTACAGTTTCAACAAATAATACACTGCATATATTCTTCTTAGTGGTTAATTGCTGTACAAGATGCGGACTTGTGATCCTATTTACAAACACCATTAGAACAAATCATTCTATTCATTAAGAGAATGCAACTATATATCTATCCCAACCTCTTTGAATACACAGATACAAAATGGACATTCATCGGTATACCCCATTTTTTCTAAGTTCCGTTATTGAATATTATAGGTGTGTAAACTCAGCAAAATATTGAAAAAGTAATTCTTATCAAGTCGAATTTTTTTTAAAAAATGTTATTTAGTATTTGTTCCTTTGTTTCTGTATAGTTCTTACAGGTCCATTCTCAGACATTTCTACTCAGTTCAGATGAAAGTACAGTTAGTCTACAGAAGAAGTTTTCTCCCCAGAACAAATCTGATTTCCAAAGTAATGGACAGCAGATTCTCCAGATGCCAGCTTCAAATCCCCCAACATCAGATGATAACACCACCTGTCCCCACTGGTTTGATATAAATGATTCCAGAGTCCAGCCAATCAAGGAAAAAGATATTGAACAGCAATTCCAGGGTAAAGAAAGTGCCTACATGTTGTTTTATCGGAAATCCCAGTTGCAAAGACCACGTGAAGGTATGAAAAGAAAAATGTTACTGTTATTTAGTGGTCATAAATGTGGAATGCTGCTTGAATTTTTCCTCTCTTAAAAGACTTACCCTAGGAACATTTTAAAGTATTTTCAGCCTAAGTAATATTTTAAAGAAGTAGGGCCAGGGATATAGTGGCCTAAGCCCCTTCCTGGCAGGCTCAAGGTCCCAAGTTCAGTCCCTAGTACCACCAAAAAAAAAAGTAGTACATTATACCAAATGAAATACAATAGTTTGTCATTTTATAAGATTAAGATTTCTGTTTTAATTTTTTCTACTATAATCAGAGGTCATGATTGAGTTTTTTTAGATTTTGTAATATTTTCTTCTTGGGTTGGGTGTGGTGGTACACAACTGACTGTAATCCCAGCACTCAGGAGGCTAAAGCAAATGATCACTGTGAGTTCAAAGCCAGCCTGGACTGCAGAGCGAGACCCTGTCGGAAAACTCCCTTCCTGGGGTTGACATACTGGAGTGTGACTGCACTATGTGCAGGCTTGTGTCTTTTGCTCAGCCGTGTTGCCCATTGAATTGTGAAAGTGGCTTTGGTCTTAAATAATCTTTATTTTCTGGTTTCTTTTTGCTTTTCTATGAATGTAATGGTCCCTGAGCAATAAAAATGTCTTTGAAGCACTGCGCTCCACCAAGAGAGGTTAATCTTTGCCACTTACACAATTCAGTGGCAACATGACTGAGCAACAGACACAAGCCTGTACATAGTGCAGTCACACTCCAGTATGTCAACCCCAGAAAGGGAGCTTTCTGACAGGGTCTCGCTCTGCAGTCCAGACTGACTTTGAACTCACAGTGATCCTTTTCTTTAGCCTTCTGAGTGCTGGGATTACAGTTGTGCGCCACCACATGCAACCCAAGTATTTTTTAACTGAAGCTGTTAATATGAATAATAAATCAGTCAATTTCTTTATTATTTTCTCAAAGTCCTTTCAGACATAAACCCGTAGTAGGAAAGCTTTTTATATTGCAGCATGGCTGTGATTAGAGATGAACAGAATGTTCTTAGAGAGTGAGTATAGTGATCACTTTTTATAAAGAATAAGAATAGAGCAGTTACTAATTTGCATGAGAATCAAAGAAAATTAACTTGCAACATCTGAAACGGTTACATAACTGTGCTGTTAACTAAAAAGGCTCTGTATTTTTCTGAGAAGAAAAACATACGGGGGACTAGTTCTGACAGAAATGTACATCAGAATTCCCAGTTACAGTAATATATTTTAACAGAAAATTGATGTTTTTTTCGCTGACTTAAATTGTAGTATGCCCATAATTGGAATATGTAAAAAAAAAGGAGTTTTCCCCTAAAGTTAGCTTAATGACTTTGAGGATGAAAGGATAGAACTTTATAAAAATGAGTCTCATGTTTGCAGAAAAAGATAAAGTTACGGAAAGTGAAGGAAGGACTACCAAGAAGTTGCTGTATCTGTAAATAAAGATGCTGTAAAGCTAAAACGGTGATGGTGGCAGGGGCAATGCCAAGAGGTAGACAGATCATTGAAGTAGAGTGGTAAACCCAGGATTGGTCTAAGTGTATATGAGATATTAACCCACCGTAAGCAAGAAGCTGTCCAGATAAATGACAAACCAAACTACTCGGTAAATACAACTGGGAAGTTGATTTGTTGCTAAACAAATAAGTAAAGCACTTTTTGCCATTCTGTCAGTCACTTCAATTAACTTGTAGCTTTTATCAGTAGAAAAAAATACCTTAAAATGCATAAAATATAAATATCTGATCTCAAGTTAAAGGCAACTTGACTAAGGTTAAAAGCGAAGTAAAAATTAAGGAAAAGCAATATAAACTTTTAACAGAATTAAAAAGCAAAAGACAAGCTAATCAAAAGCAGTAAAATATATAACAAGCTTACTTTCCCTCTATGATATATATATTGAGTGCCTATCTTAGAAAAATCCTGTTTGTTAAAAAACAAAATTCAACCTAAACCATAATAAGAAAAACTTGAAACTGCAGCCCGATACAACTTTTTCCTTGTTGCGTCAAATATTTTTGTGAACCTTGCCAGGTGCGGCAGCACAATCTGAAATGCATAGAAACTTGAATAAACATTTCTCCCACAGCTAGTTAATATATAAATTAATGCAACCAATTTGGGTGTACATATTTAAAAGCCTTAAAACTGTCATGCCCTCTAAACCAGTAACTGGTAACTCTCGCAAATTTTTCTTTTTGTTTTTGTTTTTTGTTTTTTTTTTTTGCATATTTGTTTTGAAATAGAACTGTTTATGAATATTTATGCTGAGGTGCTTGTTAACTCCATTATTTTATAGTAGAGACTAATTGGAAACCACCTTAATATATAACAGAAAAAATAATGATAGATTAATTATGCTAAATATAGGGTAGACTGTTAACAGTCATTTAAAGCTGTGAAAAAATACATGAAATGAAACAGCAAGTTAGAAATATATAACCCGAATTGTTTTTAAAAGTGTCTGTGTATATATTTTAGGAGTGAGATTTTGGGTACAGTAGTATCTGTTCCTCTTTAGAAAATAGTCTCTAGAAGCTTTTATAGTAACCAGTTGTTACATTTATAATCAGGATAAAAATAGTGAGTGCTCATTCTTAAAGCATCCTTAAAGAGAGTAAAAGAAATGAAATTCTTCTAGCTTGGATTAAAAACTACCAGCCTTTCATCTGACCTTGGAGCACCAAGCAGCAGGAGATCTGTGTGCACAGAGCTAGTTCTCAGCAGCTTTCCCAGCTCAGCACTGTCCTGGTCTGCATGCTGCCTTGTCAGCATCCCGATTTCATTTAGTCAACACAAGTTCTTTTTTCTTTTCATTACCTTTATTGAAAATCAATAATTACATATCATACTAAAACTTGTAGACAAATATTGAAATGTGAAAGATACAAGATGTAGACAGTGAATTTTAGAGAAATATTTCTGAAATGAGGGCTGGAGAGATGGCTCAGTGGTCTAAAGCACCTACTTGAAACAAGCTTGGCAAAGCACAGGGACCGCGGTTCGATCCCCAGCACCACATGCCAGCCAGCCCCGCCCCCTGGTGGGCTGAGCTGGCCACACACACACACACAACAAATAAATGTAATAAATAAAAATAAATAAATATTTAAAAAAAAAAAGAAATATTTCTGAAATGAATACATAGCATGAGATTAATAAAATTGCACATTATAAATAATTTACGAACTTAAACGAATATAACAATAAAAATTGTCCAAAATAAACATGAAAAAGAATGAATTTGCAAGTCAGTCATAATAGTTCACTGTGTCAAAATCAAGCAACTGGGCAAGCCATACATTTATATGTAGAAGATGGGTAAGGCAATGATCCTGAGAATCTTCAGAAGATTTTTGAATCAAGCAGTTAACTGGAATGATTCTCACCCTGACTAACTATATATACTGACACCTGTGAACTAAGCAACTGCACTGAAGATGGCAATATGTAATAGTAGGTTCATGCTGTGAGTACCTGTCATTCTGGTCTTCTGAATATGGGCTGCTTGTCATGACATGCTAGTTGCTGCCGTGGTTGTCTCTCAGATAGGTGACTATTCAGAAAGAAGCGGGTGGTGAATGAAGGCAGGAGACAGGAAAAGGAATGTTGCGGGACTGTCCTGCTACAAGGTTGTTTATGATTAGATTTCTGGACTTATATGTAAATATAAGAATTATATAATTCTTTATGCCTATTTTTAAAATATATTTTAATTTTTAAGTGTTTTTTCATCATATTCTGTAGGGACTTAAAGTACAACATATCAATACTTGATGAAAAATACCTGTTGCATGTTATGCCTAAGATGTTTGATATTCAGACAGGTAGTGAGGTTAAGTTTAACAGCCTAGGTTGTATGGTAATAACAATAAGCTTTTCTTTTGGAGGGGTAACAACCTAAGTTTGCAGACCAAAATTAGAGAAAAAGGAGGACCACAAGGAAAGCCAACATTTTGGCCCTAGCCTTCCAAGGTCAATTAAGACTCAGGACATATGAGAACTTGTACTGTAACGTCATGTAACTCAGTAGTGTCCCAAATTTTTTGATCAAGGAGATTATGGGGCCAAAGAGGAAAGTGATTGATGATGTAGAATGTACTTAAGGAGAGTCACATGGAGGGAAAACATTCTCTCAGGCTTTTACAGAGAGCACATTGGCCAAGCAATGGCCGTGACTCATCCACATGGCTGACACTGACAGAGGATCTACAATCTGAGGTACAGGATCTCAGGATAAATCCTGAGGGGATTTCACTGACCTTATTAGATCCAAAAGCTTCAACTCTTGTTGCATAGGTCTTGCTTTATCTTGGTCTTAACCATCTAGCAGAAAAGTATAAAAACGAAGTATAAGAAGTAAAGCCAGGCCAGGGAGATGGCTCAGAGGAATAAGCGCTTCACTGGCAAGCGCAAGGGCCTGAGTTCAATCCCCCATTCCTCAAAAAAAAAAAAAAAATAGAAGTAAGCCATGGTGTGATGTTGAGCTGTAGGGGACTCATGTCAACAATTTCTGACACTGCCAGTCAAGTAGAAGACCCAACACTATTATGGACTACTGGACTCTTTTAGAATATTTTGCTGAGTTGACACACCTGTAATATTCAAATACCGGAACTAAACAAAAAAGGGGATACAGATGAATGTCCATTTTGTATCTGTGTATTCAGAATGGTTAGGATAGATTTATAGTTACATTCTCTTAATGAATAGAAAGATTTATTCTAATGGTGTTTGTAAATAGGATATCATGTTTGCATCTTGTACAGCAAATAACCATTAGGAAGAGAGTATGCAATGTGTTAATTATTGAAACTGTCGTACAAAAAAAAAAAAAACAACGAAATCAAGAAACTTATATTCATATAATTAGAATTCTCAAAGTAGAAAGGGGTAGGCAATAAGTATTTAAAGATTTAAAATTTCTGAATTTTTGGGGCTGGTGAAATGGTGGTCTAAAGCACCTACTTAGAACAAGCTAAGCTAAGCAAAGCACAGGGACCGAGGTTCAATCCCCCAGCACCACATGCCAGCCAGCCCCGCCCCCTGGTGGGCTGAGCTGGCCACACACACACAAAATAAATAAATAAATAAATAAATAAATAAATAAAATTTTTTCAAAAAATTTGTGAATTTAGTTGAATTTATAACACATTTCCAAGAAACATGAACCTTTTGCACAAGAAACTTGAATAAAAGCATGCCGAATACACAAAAATGAAATTGTCCAAAACTTACTATAAAGAAAAAATCATTAAAGCATATACATATGGAAGAACAAAGTTAAACAGCATCTTATTCCACACTAGAAAAAAAAAAAAGACCAAGTATAGGCAACACAAGTTAATGAGAAGTTTTGTTCACAGCTCGAGCTAACCCAAAGTACAGGGTTCCTTGTCATTTGCTGAAGGAAATGGATGCAGCCAACATGGAACTACAGAAGAAAAGGTAATTTAAGTTACTTTCAGAGTATTAATAGTTTTTCTGGGAGTGGAGATGTACTTTGGGTCTTAAGCTTTTAATAATGAAAACTAAAAAGAAAAAAAATGGCCATCTATTTGGCTGCTAAATTTTTATAGTGAAGTTTTCATTTCCTTTGAAGTAATCCTTATCTGTGAGAGTGACATATACTGACATAAAGTAGCCATGGCTAAGTGGGGATGGAAGCCAAAGAATGTGGGAAACATCAATGAGCACACAGTTGGGAAAATGAATTCTGCAGGGACAGCTTGTCATCCAAACCATCATCATTCTTCTTTTTCTTTCTTTTTTTGAAACAGAGCCTTGCTATGTAGTTCAGGCCGGCCTTGAATTTACTATGTAGCCCAGGCTGACCTCGAACTTGGAGTGATCCTCGTGCCTCAGCCTTATAAGTGCTGAGATTACAGGCATGCACCCCCATGCCCTGCTTTACCTTCACTTCTGAGTAGCTGTGGAAAACTGACTTCTAGTGATGACAATCTCAAGATGGCCTGATTTTTACAAGAAAAGATTTAAGAATTCTGTATACTCTTGGCTGAATGTCAGTCTAGGGCGGAAACCTACAGTGAATTCTTACAGATGGCTGCTGAGAACTTAATGATCCTAACTTTTTCTTTGGGGATCTCACACTGAACCCTAAAAAAATGTTTACTTGCTCTCTCATAAGATCAGTAGGGCATTGGGTAAGGAAATGGGTGTTTCCATGTTTCCATCCATGTCTTCTAGCCCTACTGACCCAAAGGGCAAATTCTGTGACAGGGAAGTTTGAAATACAGTGTAAAAAATATCCTACAGAAGTAGTCTGTATGGGGGTAGAGGGCTGTAACCCAGGAAGTTCAGTCTGCCAGTAATAAGGGCTTTAGTGTGGTCATCAGAAAAGCCATGTTCTCTTTGACCACAGTAATACAGTGTATCTGAAGTCTGGCTCACGGAGACAGCCCATGCCAGCTCTGCCCTGGGCACAATGCCCAGAGAGTGAGTGTGGCACTAGGCTTTAAGTCAGGTGGATATAGAGTCAGAGAAGCAGCTAGCACCCTAGCAGGGGCTGTGGCTGGCACGCACTCAGGAAGTGGCACTGGCAGTTGCTGGTGTGGAGGAGTCCATGGGGTCCAGTGGAAGTCAGGATGGCACACAGGTTGGTAAATCTGCCCCCGAACACAAGCATGTGAACATATGTCTAGCATTTTGTCCATAACTGTATTATAGCCTCAAGAAAAAGATTTCAAGTTTCAGCATTTTTGCATAGAGATGTAGGTGATGCTGCACAATTTACACTGAAACAGTGTAATTCCAAGGGAAATCTTGGAATTTGTGGAAGTGATTACAGCTGCATGTTTGCTATTTATTGTAGACACATCGTTTTGGCAGATAGAAGAAAAGGGTAGTACTTACAATGGAGAACTTACTTGCCTTGTAAAGCAGATATTTTTGGTTTGAGATAAAGCAGTATCTATTATAAAAACATAGCATTTGTGTATTTTTTCTTCCTCTATAAAGGACAGAATGTGATTTTGCAAATAATAATATTGAATTACATCTCCACTTGGGGCCTCATTATCATTTCTTCAATGGAGCTCTGCATCCAGTCAGCTGTCAGACAGAAAGCATGTGGGATTTGACTTTCGATAAAAGAAAAACTCTAGGAGATCTCCAACAGTCAATATTTCAGGTAATTTAAATTTTACTTCTTCTTATTTGAAGCAGTTAGGTCCATCTTGAGCTGGCTTCCATTTCATCTTACTTAGTTTACAGCTATTCTTCAAGCTGCCTAAGAAAAGTCCTGCATCTGCTGGTAGATAGAGGGGGGAACAAACGATCTGTCCTTATCAGGAAGCCCATTAGGGAGGCTTGCCACACACTCCTGCTGGCAGCTTTCTAAGTAGAGAATCAGGCTGGGTTCATTTTTTAATGTGGGAGCCCAAAGCAGATAAAGTTGTCTTTTTTAGGAAATAAATGAGGTCTGAGATTGCATTTCGCTCCTTCTCTTTGTCATTTTGTATAGCACTGTCCTCTGACCTTTGTTGTAGTCCTTTGATGCAGTTATAACCTTAGCACCTACTGATACTCAGGTGCAGATCTACAAAGTTTGAATTTATCCAGTTGTGCCTGGCGTGGGTCTGGCTGATATGCTCAGCTCCTTCCTGCTGCAGCTCTTGGGAATGAACCTGTTGTGCTCCTCTGGCAAGATGTTCTGCTCCTGGATTAGCTGGGTGGTTCTGTCTCCTACTCTCTGCAGGGACTGCAGCTGCAGTTTCAGTCCAGGCCAGTATGCCAGGCCAGGGCTGGGTCTGAGGGGGACAAGGGTACACAGGGGAGAAGGGAAGCTCTCCCACACACTTGCAGTGCCTGGGCTTGGGCTGGGTCTTGGTGGTCCCGAGAGCAAGGTAGAAGTTTTCACTCACTTGGTGGGCTTGGGGGGCTCTGGAGGGGTGGACAGGTCCTGAGGGCGTGGGAGAGGATCTCACTCACAAGGCGTGCCTGGGTTTGGTCCGGGGAGGTCCCCTTTTTTGGGAAATAAAGTGAATTGTTTTTCAAAGAGAATGAAAAGATAAAGTTCAGTCTATGGCTTACTGCGAATCCTGAATAGACCCAGAGCGCAGGCCCAGCGAGTAAGTGAGATGACCCAGGGCCCACAGATCCTGAATAGACCCAGAGTGCAGGCCCTGCATGTGAGTGAGACTGCCTGGGGCCGCTGGATCCTGAATAGACCCAGAGCACAGGCCTAAAGTGGAACCCTTCAGCAGAATTCCCTGCAAAGAGGCTAGAGGCAAGACCCACCCAGCTGATTCAGGAGCAGAACATCTTGCCAGAATAACACAAAGGGTGGAAGTGGAGCACAGCACCTAGATCCAAGCAACACCCACCTGGAGGAATCTAAATTTCATAGATCCGGACCTGGTGCTAAGATAATAATTATATCTAAGCTCTACACCAAAGGTCAGAAGACAGTGGTATACAAAATGACAAAGAGAAGGAACAAAATGTAGTCTCAGGCCCCGAGTCCACCCAGTACAAACACAGAGACACTAGCATAGAGGAAACTGGAAATCACACACCTGATATCTCTGAAATAATAGCTTTGGAAGTAAAGAAACAACTGTACAAAGGTATAGAAGAAATCAGATGAGAAATAATTTCTGAAGTAAAAAATGTAGTAATAACTATAATCAAAGATGTACTCAGTGCTTCTAAAGAATACACTGATTAAAAAATAGAGCAGAATATAAAAATGATGGAATCCTTGAATAAGCAATATAGGAAAGAAATAGAACGTATGAAACAGGTTCAAAGTGATATACAGGAAATTAAAACCTCAATCACAAGCTGACAAAACCATTTGAGTGAAAGTGAAAATAGACTTTATGACCTTACAGACACCGTTGCAGCTAGTGAAAAAGGTAAGAAAAGATCTCTTAAAAAAAACTAGGAAGCACGAAAAAATAATACAATACCTGCAAGACGATGCAAAGATGAACAATGTAAGACTAATAGGCACCAATGAGAAGGAAGGAGTCAATACAAATGATATAAAAAGAATATGGGCAGAAGTAATAGCAGAAAACTTCCCTAATATGGGGCAGCAATCTGACATTCAGGTAACCAAAGCATATAGAACTCCATTAAATAACATTAACCCAATTAAAAACACACCCAGACATAATAATCAAGATCCCAGAAATTCAGCACAGGAACAGTATACTAAAAGCCGCTAAAGAAAAGAACCATCACATTTAAAGGAAAACCCATCAGAATAACAACAGATTTCTCTTCACAAGCCATCAAGTCAAGAAGAGCATGGAGCAAAGTACTTCAAGTCTTCCAAGAAAACAAATTCTAATCCAGACTGATATACCTTGCAAAACTCTCTTTCAAGTGTAATGGAGAAGTGAAATATTTCCATGACAAAGAACAACTAAAGAATTTCATGATGACAAAGCCAAGCCTATACAGACTACTAAATGATGTTCTAGAGAGGGAACAAATTGATCACAGCCCCGTGAATGAGAATGGAAAGAACCCAGCAAATAGGGCAAACTGAGAATAAGGTATACAGTAGTAGTCTTTCAGTTATTCTTTTGTGTTCAGCAAAATATTTCCATCAGCACACTCTACAAATGGACTTCTCTTCCACCATCTGAGTCTACAGGGTGGATTTCAAAGAAATAGCTGTAGCTCAGTCCCACAAGTGATGCCTGGCCACCAGTAACTGTCATGGTCATTAAGCATTTCTACAACACACTAGAACTTTATGCGATATCCTATCCTCAAACTGTTAGAAGTGCTGGTCATTTATTTGCCATTCCAGTATTTATCTTCTGTTTTACTCTTAGTACTTCTTTGCTATATGAAAACTTTTTCTTAGTCCCATTGTTTTGAAACATTTAATTTTTAATTAATTAGTATTTAATTTTCTGAATATTACTTAATCTCAATTTTTGTTCTAAGATTTATACTATACCTTTGACTTACAATTTATTTAAAAGACATCCTATGATATCTTCTCCTAGTATTAGAAACTTTATTTTTTTTATTTTTTTTATTTTTTTTTACGGAACCGGGGATTGAACTCAGGCCCTTGTGCTTGCCAGGGAAGCGCTTATTAGGGGCTGAGCCATCTCCCCAGCCTCTAGTATTAGAAACTTTAAAAAATATATTTCTATTTTCTGTTGACTTTAAAAAAAAAGATTATGAAAAAAAATTGATCCTTATAGATCCTTAAGGAAAAGGAATATGAATTTATTTTCTGTGAAAGTCATCCTAAAGTCAGAAAATACTATGAACTCAATCTTGCTTAGAAAATCGATTCTGACATCAGTGTGGAGAATGGTAACTAGAGCCCATAGAAAGAGCCCTTGTGTACTGTGTACTCACCTAGGTGATTGTAGCAGCTGCACATCAGTGAGCCCCTCTACCTTTCTCCGCTTCTCTGAGAAAATACATCTCTGGTATATATGTTATACTAATTATACTGTACTTACATTCATTTGTCCCCCCCCCCAAAAAAAAAAAAACATGTTCCAGGTTTATCCATGCTGTTGCAATTAAATAAAATCACAAACCACTAAACAAATCAAAGCAATTTTGTATGCTCTGGGTAAACTAGCATTTACAATAAGATTTTTACATACCCAGCCTTTTTTATTTTGTTTTAAAACAGGATCTCTGATTTGTCCAGACTGGCTTTGAATTTGTAATCTTGCCTCAGCCTCTTGAGTAGCTCGGATTATAGGCATATTGTCACATCCAGCTTTTTCTTTTCTGTTTTTTACTATGTCAGGGAAAGAAACCATGGCTTTGTGTGTGCTAGGCAAACCTCTGCCTCTGAACTATATTCCTAGACCTATTCTTAGTTTGATTTTGGGATAGGCTCTTACTACATTGCCTGCACAGGCTGCAAATTCTCAACTCTCGTACCTCAGCTTCATATAACTAAAATTTCAGGTGTACGCCACCACAAACTGCCCTCTTTTTTTTGTTATCTTTTTGACAGGATCTTGCTATGCAGTTCAGGCTGACCTTGAACTCACTTTATAGCCCAGGATAGTCTTTAACTCAAAACAGTCCTCCTGCCTCCGCCTCCCTGGTGGGTGTGCCACCACTCCTGGCTCCTAATAAGATTCTTAAGTGACTAAAAATACCCCATTAGTCTCTAAGTAAAAAACAGTTGTTCTGACACTCATTGTCCAAATAATTGATCCAACTGTTTTAATTACAATGATTAAAAACAATAATGCTCTATTTTGCTTATAGCTCTTTCACATAAATTATGCGGTTCTTTAACTTCATGAGGCAAAGTTGACTCCATTTTTAGGATGAAATAAATGAAAATTCAAAGATCACAGTGTGCCTGTGCTGAACCCC